AGGTGGAAGAGAAAAAGGGGAAGGTTGAAATATGTCTAGTGGAGGAGAAAGAGAAAAGGAAAGGGGAGCAGCAAAAGATGTCAATCTGGGAGGAGGAGGAGGATATAAATCTGAGAGGAGAACAATGGTTTGGGAGTAAACTGGAAGGAGAGAGAATGAAACAGAAGGAAGAAAGCAAGCAGGATAGTGGTTATGAGAAGGCGCATGATTTACTGAAAGATTTCCCGAACTTGAAAATGGGAAGACTGTTACCGGACCCAGAGCCCAAGAGATAGAGAGAGAGACGGTGGTGGAAACCCAGGAATGGATTGTCATCATGTTCCCATGTGGGCAAAGGAGAGGAAAGAGGGTGATCTCTCCAGATTCCACCTACAATCAACCACCAAAGGAGGGTGACTGGGCTAGACACCCAAGCTGCGGGACGATCTGTGCAGTGAGTAGCGCACCACTTTGGAGACCCACCGACAAAGAACGGTTTGGCCCACAGGATGTGGAAAATGAGGGTTTTAAGATTCATGTCAGTGGGAATAAGATAATTTAAAAAAAATTGGGCGTAAAATGGTACAGTGGTGCCTCGCTTAACGAATGCACGAGTTATCTTGTTTTGATCCAACTGAAATAATTATAGAAAAGTTAGAAACAAATAAAAACCAAATCATGAATTCAATTAATACATCTCCTACTTTACTTCCTGCCAAAAATGAGGAACTGCCAAAGGATTCTAACGAATCCAATCACACTTAGTAAGACATTCAAAAAATAAAGGACCATAATTATAATAAATTAAGAGAAAAAATTAAAAAGAAATTACAGGAATACAATAATATAAAACTTTCTTGGATTGGAAGGATTGCACTGTTAAAATTTAAAATGTTACCAAAAATTAATTTTTATTTAGAATGTTACCAATACAGTTAAGAGAGAATGATTTTAAATTTTGGCAAGGAATGATTAACGAATATTGTAATGAAGGGAAGAGAGCCAGAATAAATAAAAAGTATTGATATAAAACAACAAAAAAGGTGGTACAGGTTTATCAAATATAAAGAATTATTATTTGGCTAATCAGTTAAGGTTTATTGGAGAAAGTATATATAACCCAGAAAGGTTAGTTTGGTGGAACTGTAAATGATAAGCTAACTTGTAATTTAAAGGTTAAGAAAGGAGAGTTGAAAAAGAATATTTTTTATAATATATGGGGCAGATTTTTGGAATATGTGTTAGCAAGAGGAAAAGAGAAAGCTCCAAATCAAGCATCAATGCAGTTCTGGAGAAGAGGGCAATAATAGAAGAATATAGATGGAGGAGGAAGATGATTATTTCAAGAGGTCCTGACTATGGTGGTGGGGAACACAGTTAATTTGTATTTTGGTTTATGTATTTTATGTTTATGTTATCGTTAAATAAAAAAATAAAAATAAAAAAATGATTCATTTTATTTTGCATATCTTAGGCACTCATTCAGTCCAGTCTACTGCAATGTCTGGCAACTAGATTAGTTAACTAGTGCGCTAATACAGTGGTGCCTCGCTTAGCGATTGCTTCATTTAACAATGTATTCGCTTAGCGATGAGGTTTTAGGAGCGATCTTGCGCTCCGTTTAGCAATGTTTCCAATGGAGGAATTTCGCATAGCGATGTTCGGGACCATGCCTCACATAGCGCTGACAGTTTGGGTCCCCCTGTTTCGCTTAGCGATGTCCGTTTTCGCTATTTTTAAAGTGTCTTAAAATATTCAAAAACTGTTTAAAATGCTTGGAATCGTTAGTGCACCTTGTAAAACCTTTGCAAACTTAATTTGGCTTTGTTCTGAGTCTTCCTTAATTTTTGGTGAATTCCCCCCCCCCATTGGAATGCACTGACAGCTGGCAAACCTACAGTTCAATGCATTTCAATGGGGGGAGAGAAAATTCACCAAAAATTAACAAAGACTTAGAACAAAGCTAAATTAAGTTTGCAAAGGTTTTACAGGGTGCTCTCACGATTCCAAGCAATTTAAACAGTTTTTGAACATTGTAAGACACTTTAAAAATAGCAAAAACGGACCTGTCAAAACCATTGAAATGCACTGAAACCTATTCAATGCATTCCAATTGGGGAACCGCGTTTCGCTTAGCGATGTTTCCTATGGCGATGTTCACTTAAGGACGGTAATCCATTCCCATTGGAATGGATTATCCGGTTTTCAATGCATTCCTATGGGAAATGGTGTTTCACTTAGCGATGTTTTCCCATAGCGATGGTTTTTTTGGAACCAATTAACATCGCTAAGCGAGGCACCATTGTACAGGGACTTCCTTCTCATTATTCACTGAGGGCAAATACTGGCTTAATCTGAATGATCCAGACTTGCATGATGCCAGTAGTGACAGGCAAGTGAAGAAAACTTAGGGGTACCTGATGGAGAGTTTCTCCCTAAGATTCTCCACCTGGGCCATCCAGGGCACCCAGGTTTTGCGGTTGCAGGTCACCACCCCTAAAAAGGCCTGGAAAACTACCACCAGGAACCGTCCCTTTTCAGTTATGGCCAATAGGCTATGGGATGTGCTACCTGCAGATAATTAGGCAAAAGATAAAACTGTTTTATTTGACAGGGCCTTTAGAAACATGCTACCGCACTGACATCCTCATTTGAGGGTTCTAAAGGTGGCTCTTCTTTCTCTCCAAATAAATTAGCAGACGTGCAAGGCTTGAAAATTGGAGTAATGTTTATTGCATTATTTAACAGAAAACCAGTGTCAGCAAAAGCATTCCAAGTTTTGTCACCTTCTAACAACGGGTCAGAGAGGGGTTTCCAACTTCCTTCTTCAAAGGGATTTCCCCCAACAGTGTCCCAAGGACCCAGTCAATCACCTGGTGGATCAGAGTTCAATAGTAGTCCGGGTTTTCCCTCCAATAGGGGTACTGTGTCCTTATCCTGGAGGGCGCAAAGGTCTGCCACGGTCTGACGGGTACCCCCTCATTCCGTGTTCTCAATAGGGGTACTGTGTCCTAATCCTGCTGGGCGTAAAGGTCTGCCATGGTCTGACGGGTACCCCCTCATTTGGGTCTCCATTCAATTCTTTCCCTCCTTTCTCACCCAGTCAATCACCTGGTGGATCAGAGTTCAATAGTAGTCCGGGTTTTCCCTCCAATAGGGGTACTGTGTCCTTATCCTGGAGGGCGCAAAGGTCTGCCACGGTCTGACGGGTACCCCCTCATCTGAGTCTCCATTCAATTCTTTCCCTCCTTTCTCTCTCCACACGCTCCTTTTCCTCCCTCTATTTCCTCCTTCACTCCTTAGCTTATCACCTGGTGGATCAGAGTTCAATAGTAGTCCGGGTTTTCCCTCCAATAGGGGTACTGTGTCCTTATCCTGGAGGGCGCAAAGGTCTGCCACGGTCTGACGGGTACCCCCTCATCTGAGTCTCCATTCAATTCTTTCCCTCCTTTCTCTCTCCACACGCTCCTTTTCCTCCCTCTATTTCCTCCTTCACTCCTTAGCTTAGGCATACAGCTGTAGAGCCAGAGGTTGGGAGTTTGATTCCCCACTGTGTCTCCCAGACAAGGGCTGGACTCAAAGATCCATATGATCTCTTCCAGTTCCGCAATTCTAAGATTATTTATTATTATTATTACTACCTCTGCTGCTACAACCGTAAGTCCATCATTAAGAAGGAAACCAACTTTTTGTGGGTCAGACTTAGGTTATTGGTTTTCAGTTGCATGTTGTACTGAATGTGTTGTTCCTTTAATAGGAAATTAACAGAGATTAATAATTCAGCTCAAAAATAGTTTGCAAAGTTTATCCATTTAACTACTTCCATTATGAACACTATGTCACCAAGAACATGTGTCTATCAAAGAGCCATAGTTAGAACATGGTGCTTGGTGCTTTGACCCAGAAAGCCAAAATTTAGAGGGTGCACAAATTCACTGCTGAAAGGGCACAGACTTGATCATTTTGCATTTGTTGATGGAAGGTGTGAGCTTGCCCACTATTAGTGTGTATACCACTTCTAGCAACTCCTCCCTGGGCAGAAAGAAGGAAACAAACAAGGCACAGACTTGATCATTTTGTATTTGTTGATGGAAGCTGTGAGCTTGCCCACTATGAGCGTGTATACCACTTCTAGCAGCTCCTCCCTGGGCAGAAAGAAGGAAACAAAACAGGTAGGCTCAGCAGGGAACCGACATTGTCACTGCAAGGTGAAACCCATGTGTTCCACTTCATTCCTCTGTTTTTGTTTTTTGCCACCCATGGCAATCTCATGTGATTCAAGCTTAACTAACAGAGCAGCAAAACCCCAGGCACCAAAATCACTCCTTACAGCTCTGGTCTGGCATGCAAATATATTTTCTTTTTAAAGTGTTCAATAATCAACTTGTGATACTTCTGTTATAAATATACAGTGGTGCCTTGCTTAACGAGTGCACCGTTTAATGACGAATCCGCATAGTGATGTCGCTTTTGCAATTGCCGGGTGCCCAAAATGGCCACCGCAAGTGTTTTCGCACCCTGCCCTCGCTTACCAAGGGCGCGAAAATGGCGGCGCTATGGAGGAACGTCACTGAACTGTGAGTTTGGGCCCCATAGGAATGCATTAAATCAAGTTTAATGCATTCCTATGGGTTTTTTTGATCCGTTTAGCGATGTTTCTGCATAGCGACAATTAATCCGGAACGGATTAACGTCGCTATGCGGGGCACCACTGTAATATAGTAAGAAATGATAAATAAAATATTTCACACAATAATATAGCCAAAATATGAAAATAATATCTGATACCTCTATGACACTGATTCCCAACATTGAGTTCCCAGGGATTCTTGGACAAAAACCCAGAATCCAGCTGTGCTGGACAGGATTTATAGGAGCTGTAATACAAGAACATCTGGGGACCTAAGGTAGGGAGTTACTGCTCAATGAGTAAGAAAAAAAAGCCTACCATCTAGATAATATTACTTTTTATAAGTTGACTTCTTGCCAAACATTGAGTTTCCGTTTAGTTCTTATTTTACCTTTCAAGAAATTTACTACTTTCCCCCATTTTCCAGCATCAAACGGGTGTAGTTTCTCCAGTCCCATAAATGTAATGTTGTAATCAGGGGAATACACAATAGGCCAACATGTGGGTGGGACATCTTCATAGAGTTCTGTCTTGTGAGGCCTTAGAAATGGATGGAAAACAGCATTTATAATCCAGAAGTAACAGCAGCATTGGAGAGCCAAACATATCGACAGAAAAAATATAACACATTCCACAAAAATTGTTCCCAATTAAGCAATGCTTAATCATAAATATAAATAAATGCTCATTGTAGACTATTTTCTATAGCTTGGGAAAAAATTTTTGCTTTCCAGATGTTGATGACTTCAGCTCTCATCATCCCCACCAAGCATGACAATGGATTTTTGATAAAAGAGCTGAAGTTCAAAACATATGGATGATTAAGGATTTCTCATCCCCACTTTCCCTTCTTTTTGCTTTTGGGCACTAAAGATGTGAAATATTATACCCAGTGAAGTGAGACAACAGCGGGAAAATAGGAACGCCAGAAACCAGGATATATTATTTTGTATTAGAGCTGTTTCTACTCCAAGGAATTTATAGTGTGTGTTAATTCCTTTGATATTCTTTGTCACACTCCGAGATTCTTTACAGCTAATGCTTCAGCAATTAGCATCTTTGCTTGTGACTTCATTTCTATAACATTTTGTTATATAAGCACTCATCTACATTTGTTTAAAATTACATCTCCCATTCAGTCTAGGTTAGGGAATCATATTACCCTTCCCTTTTGTTTGTTTAACATCCGCTGCATAGAGAGGGGCAGACTGAATTGAATGACAATTGATAGGCCTGGCCCTAGCGAACCAGTCAGGTGTAGTGGATAGAGCAATGGATTAGGACTCAGGAGGCTGGGGTTCGAGTCCCTGCTCAGCCATGGAAACTCACTGGAGGCGTGAAACCGGAAAAAAAAACTTCCTTAAATATTTCGTCCTGAAAACCCACATAGCAACATAGGGCCTACAGAACCAGGTGACAGACTAGGCTGCAGGGGACTTGTGTTCAAATCCACAATCAGCCATGGAAACTCACTAGGAACTCATTAGACACCTAAACTCATTTGAAAACCCTATTAGGGTTGTCATAAGTCAGATGTGACTCGCTGACACATAACACACATGCAGTCTTGTCTATCTTTTGATGGATTATGACTAAATTTTTAGTACTACTTGTGTTTTTCATTTTTGTATTTTCTATTTCTCAGAGTGGCTTTTTTAGTATACTTATTGTTTTTAGCTCTAACATTGCCTTTTAATGACACAAGATGCCTCTACTCATTGTTCTTAGCTTTAAATTTTATGTTTTAATGATGTTAACCGTGGTATATACATGGTTTTCAATTTCAAGTACTCTATTGTCTTTCGATGTTATAAGCCACCTTGGGTGCTTTTCAAGGAGAAAGGCAGAGTAAAAATATTTTAAATAAATAAATATTTGAATCTATGAAGCTGCACTATGCCGGACTGCATCACTGGGACCACGTGGACTATTTGGTGGGACTGGTGGGGACTTAGAGAGTTTCAGGCAGGAGTCTCACCCAACTGTTCTGTGACTGTACAGTATATTCTGTGAGGGTCACTGTACTAATCATGGACATTTTCTCTCTCTCTAAATAGTTTCAAGAGCTTAGGGTCATAAACAGAAATGGAGGAACAGTCAAAATAATGCTATATTCCAGCAGCTAGGTTCACCCAATTACTTGATATATATTTTGTTTAAATCACAATGTTTTATGTACAGTTTTAAGTATAATAATGCTCTTCACATAAATAAAAAGGGATAGTCCTAAAAAAACCACATTTTTTTCTATGCCTGCTGGACAAGGTCATTTTGTGCTTGTAGCTCTACACGTTTATATTCTAGCTCAAGAGTGAACAGCATGGCTTTACTTTTGAATCTTCCGTTATCTGAATCTAATTTCTCGGATTATTTGATTTTTTCCTTTCCTTTCTATACTCCACCCCCCCCCCACGCCAACTTCATGAAGCTGAAGAACCGGCTTCCCACAAGAATCCCTGTCCCATAGACGTCGTGGTTT